AAAATGCGTTGTTAAAATCATCTTACTCTTCAAGACTCCAAAAATAAGTGCAAATATTCTAAAAACCAATAGTTTCCCTAAACAACAAAATTTTACTTTAAAGAAAGAACATTTCCAAGAAACGTTTTCAAAATATATCACGACACGTAAAAAGAAGGACGAACACGACATAAAAATTGCACATCGACCACTACAGTTCCCCGAGAAATCAGCTGAACGGAACTAAGGCCATGGACGAGCATGGGCAGCAGAGTTCAAAGACAGCCGACTGGAAGGAGCCATTATAAAATTCCGTCGAACCCGTGGAGAATTTCTCGGAACGTCTTGCTGAACGACTCTCACGGAATATTTGTGCACGGTTTCCGGGACGGTGGCGGGCCACGATAATTTTCATCGATCCTGGAATTTCCTCCAGGATACAGCGTTCTCCTCGTTTCACTCCTCTTGTTCGCCACGACTGTACGCGCGAGGAAATAAAAGACACCCAGTTTCCAGCTTTTCCACTCTTTTTCCACTCCCTCGTTCCTTCTCTTCCTACTTCTTGTCCGCCTTTTGCACGTCGTTACCAGGTAACTGTTCATTGCTAACTATTCCCTGGTTAATTCGCCCTCGTGAGCGGACACTTACCTCCTCGAACACGAAACACTTAAACTTCACCGTCCTTTCGCCACGCTTTTTTCCACGTCTTGCTTTCTCTTCTTCTTCCTTTCCTTTTTAACGTGACCACGTTGAGGTGATTCGAAGGTACGTACGCTTTAATTCCTGGTCGAAAGAGTAGAGAGAACGCGGTGCTGCCACACCTCTGCGGCAGTTTCAGCTCGAAGCACAAGCTGAATAATCCTGATCGTTATCAAGGCCGTTGCATTTATCCGAGAACAGTTACGCTGGATTCGAGGCAACGACGCCGGCGTGTTTCCGTGTCGCGTAATCGAACGCATCGCTCCTGCCCGCCGCACTATATTTCCGGCTTTCCTCGCCCACGAAATTTTCACTTCGACCTGCTCGTTTCGTGTAGTTTACTTCTTCTTCGCTTTTTAATTTCGAAGCGGTTTCGTTGAGAAGGAAATTACGTTGATTCGAGCTTTCCAGTTTTCGCACGGCATCTGAGATGGACGTTTTGTCGACTGATTTATCGATAAGAGTAACAAAGTCGGCGGAGATAAAGTTTGTAAAATGAAGACGACGAGACAACAATACGTTATTTGGATAGAAATAAAATAAAATGAAATGTTATAAATGTAAAACATTGTATAAGACATTGTAAAATATACGTATTGACGTGGCTTCCCTGGCTACATCGCGAATAAATGTAAACGGAATCTAGAACTCCGTGAAATTCATGCAAGAAACGAGTACAATTCATCACGACTGCTATGGCCTCCGTATTATTGACCAATATCACTTTTCAAGTAGTTCAAGTCACTCGCAGCGAGAAAGAAATAAGTGATCAACAGGAACTATCGACGCTATCGTTTCTATGCAACAGGAGTGCAGTATCGCACTATTTCAACTTTATTTCCCTCATTTTTCACTTTTCTCCCCGCTCTTTCATTCCCTGTCCTTCCTTAAGTCTCTCCCCTTTCTCTCTCCGACACTCTTTATCGCCCATTACCCACCCATTTATCCTCTCTCTCTCTCTCTCTCTCTCTCTCTCTCGTTCAATCCACATCTATCCGTCCTTCTCGCTCTGTCGCGCACCACGCCCGAGCCAGCTTCTACCCAGCCCGCGGTAAATGGCGATTTTATAATTCATAGAGCATCGTGTTTCATCCGGTCTATCGATGTGCCAGCAAATGGCCGATATCACGGGGGCTAGCTGCGCGTTACCACTTCGTTACGACCCCTCCCGTTCGACCCCGAGCTTTATTTCGCGTAAATGCTCCAACGCTCCGCGATTCTCGCAATTTCTCCACACATTCGAGGATCTTCAACCCTTTCGCTGCGGCAGATTTTAGTACGTAAGTACTAAATCTTGGTACAAATGTACCAGAACGTTTGCAAAATCTTTCCCTTTGGCCGAATATCGTTTTAAAATCTTTTGTACCTAATTAAGACGGAAGAGTGCAACGGGTCAAATTAAGCCTTGACCTCTTCAGGGACGATTTTTTGAAAGGTAGAAAAGAATGACCTAACTTTTTATGTTGTTACGTTTATATTCACGTTAGAATGTTCGATGCTTAATTGCCGAACCGGTACGCGAGTTTAATCACACCTTGATTTATTCAGTGTGAAATGCTAAGAACTAGTTTTATTTGCAACAGAGTGATACTTGAGGTGATGTCGCCACGAGACTATCAAAATACTAATTTTCGTAAGACCAACTGCTAAGACTTCCAAAAAAGGACGCGCTTCTGCCTCGTTTCCTTAGTTTTATCCGCTCGGCCAGTTGCTGATTGGTGGCCGATTTCTTCTGGGGGCTGTAGGTGCTGACTCCTCATTGGAGGAGGCTGTTTAGGTGGGACGTAGCTCTTTCCAAGGGAAGGGGATTGTTGCTTAACATTAGAAAACCCCCATTTTTGGGTTTTTCC